CACTCCATCATTCCCACGACTCCCGCGAACCGGCAGAATCCACCAGCGCGACAAGATGGCGGAAGGACAACATCTCACGCTACATCTCAACCTCGTGATCGAATGTCACAACCGCCTCCGGAACAAAATACGCGTCGCACCGACGCCGGGCGCAATCCTCCTGTACTTCCTCAAGAAGAAACCGCCGAAAGCCAGTCGGGTCATTCACGACGATCACCGCCTCACGCACAGCGCCGAAATCCCTCCAATCCGGCGCAGACCGACCCTCGACAGCATATTGAACGAAATCGGGCTCGTCAAGAATCATCCGAACTTGAAACACTGCGACGAAGAATAGCCGAGTTGGAAAGTCGGCAACGGGCACCTGAAGATCCGCCTCGGCGGGCCTCCACCTCGGCACAAGTGTATTTAGAAGCCGATTCTCCCCTTACTCCGGAGCTCACTTCGGAACCAGTTCCTGGAAAAGTTAAGGTCCCCCAGATCGGGCTATATGATGGAACATCTGACCCGGACTCGCACCTCGGTCATTATACTTCATGGATGGATCTGCATGGGGCCTCAGACGCACTTCGGTGTCGTATGTTTTCACTCACACTGGGGCCTCGGGCCCAAAAATGGTACCATTCTCTTCTTCCTCATTCAATTTGGAAGTGGCAACAACTGAGGTCGGCTTTTCGATCTCATTTTATCGGGGCTCAAGTATGCCTTATCCCAAAAGAGTCTCTTGCGAATATCACTCAAAAAGATGATGAAAGTGTCAAGGATTATATTGCCCGTTTCAATGACCGAGTTCAGAATATGGAACCTTGTCATCCTGAAACCTTGCTAGTCATGGCTATTGCTGGATTGAAACCGAATTCGATTTTCCGCTGGACGCTATGCCAAAATAAACCGAACACTTTTCAAGAATTTCTCGCTCGAGCTCAGCATCACATTATAGCGGAAGAAGCCATGTCGGTTCCCGATTTTAACTTTAACCCAAAGTTTTCTAAAACGGGAACCGATGAAAAAAGGAAGAATAAATTTTTCGACAAGCAAAATAAGACTCAATTCAGGGGGCCTCCCCGAGGAGACCCCAATGATCCTGAAGTCCGAGCGGCCCGAAAAAAATACGCAACCGACGTGAAGTCCGGTTATCAAACTGTATATTCGGCGGGAGCAGCCACTATTTATGAAGAAATCAATGGGAAGGGCATTTTGCCAGATCCCAAGCCACTTCGAATGCCCGAAGAAAAACTAGACAAATCCCGATATTGTGATTACCATAAGTCACCAGGGCACAACACAGACGAGTGTTTGAGTTTGTTAGCCGCATTGTTGCGTTTGATTGGCCATCCGCAACTTAGAAAATTTTATCGTAATACTGATCCTCAGAGGCGAGGTCCTGGACGCCAGATCGAACTCTTTGATGATGAAGATGATGAGGAAGACCGAGGTGCTATGACAAAACGCATCCGACAAGGAGATAAGGAAGTATTCATGTTCACCTCGGAGACGTCCGATTCTAACCCTGCTGGAACTTCCCGAGGACGTAAACGAGATAGGTCTCCTGAACCA